TCTCCATTTTAAAATGGGAAAAAAATAACAGACTTCAAGTACTAGTTAAGGTTAACATAATATGGGAAACTCTATCTTTTTTCTTTTCTCTCTTTTTGGTAGTCTTATGTGTAAAAGCTTTACATTACTATGGATATTTTATAGTATAAAGACACTTGTTGCTGACTTTATAAACTCATTTTTAAATTTAAAGGCACACAATAAAGCTTTATACATTTATTAAAATATACAGATTTTGGTAAATTTAGAATTTTTTCTTAGTGTTTTTCTTAAGTACTTTGATAAATCAATATATTGTCAACACCACAGTCATTTGAAAATAAAATGCACTCCATAGTACATCTGCATATTATTTCTTTCTTCACAGTACATTATAATACCCCATTGTACAGTGCACCAATGGGACTTAAAAACCACAAAGAGAACAAACTTTAACAAATACAGCAATTTCATACAATAAAAAATAGCAGAGAACAACACCAGAAATTACCATCTGCAAAATGCAAGTTGTATTTCTTAAGGACCAAAACAAAAACGAAACAAGTTAGTTAAAGTCATGAGCTGTTATTTATAACTTTGGATATGAATTCAGCGCTAACATTTCTTTTCCACAGTGAGCAAAACTAGAATGTGGAGTTCTGCTGTCAGATGGTGTGACGACATGGAATGAGGACTAGAGCTGCTCCCTTAAAATCATTCAGCCCCTTCTCTCAGCCTGACAGTTGAGGTATTTATGAGCCATTGTAACATCAACAGTGTGTCCGCTTTGGGAAGCAGGGGTTCGTGAATTCAAGGGTGGATTCTCAACTTTGGGCCTTTGAGTGAGACAAGTATATTAACAATTGCCAAGGTCAATCAATGGGTGTGCATGGAAAAGTTTCCCAATCCCAATATCAGATTGAACACAACACTTCCAAATTTGCACTTCTCAATAAAGTCACATGAACCAGTTTCCTTGAGCCAATGTCATCAATGTTAGTGTCAGGAAAGCTTAATAGAAAAAATTAACCCACAAACAGAAAGCACAATGGAAGTCCCTAATGTAATGAAACTAGGATGCCCTTGTTTTCTGGTTCTAATATAAAGCCATTTAAATCTTTCCTGGTGTGTACCAACATGCACTAAATGATCTCAAAGAGTAAGAAATAAGAGCTACCTGCTGTCAGGTCCCAGTCGACTCTGTGCAAGTCCTGTGTGGGCTGTGTGATTCCATGCATGTGTATGCTGTATTATGATTTCTAACACTATTTTAGTTGATGCTGCAGAATACATGTTCACCTTGCATGGGCTTTAAAACTTTCACTGATCCCTTTTGGGCTTTAAGTCCTTAAAAAAGAAAATGTTCTATATTTTTTAGAGAAGCTATTCTGGCAAAAGGCAACTTATTGCCTAGGCATTTCAGAATGATGCATATGTTACTCAAGGAGAACAAGACAAGAAAGATGAGGAAAGCATTTTTCAAAAGGAAGTTGTTCCTGAGGAGGGGGAAAAGCAATTAAACAGCTTCTTCTCCAAAGCCTTAGGAAAAAATCAAAGTGGGACACAGGACTAACAACTATGTCCATGAAAGGGGCTTTGGGCTACCTGTCACATTCTGACTGCGGAATACAAAGACCACTCCTGGGGAAACAGCATCTGGTCCCTGCTCCTGCTGAGGCCTGTGGTTTGGGATGCTGGGTCTGTGCTTGTGGATTGCTTGACCACAAATACTGGCCCTTTCATGGCCAGGCCAGTACAGGTTACCAGAGGGGGGCTCTCTCTTAGGTTCTTCTACGGGCCTCAGTGGACAAATCCTCAGTGCTAGAGAAGTACATCTGAACAGGGGAAGCTGCGTTTCCATGAAAATTGTGATCCTGCAAGCTTTGTGGTGAACATCATGCCCTATGACTCCAGTAGTCAGATCTGGGGTGTGTTTGCTTTGGTCTCTTCCCTTCCCCCTCCCTATAGGAAATTAAGGCTCTGTTAGGATTGCTCAGTAACTTGAGGCTTAAATCCAAGAGTGGACCATTCACTGCCATCAGGTGAGCAGACCCAAGCTCTGGCTTCAGATACATTTCCTCATGTCTGATGTTTGCACACATTTCTCTTTTCGGGGGTAATGGGGATTGAACTCGGGACCTTGCACTTGCAAGATAGGCAGTGGCACCACTGAGATAAATCTCTGGCCCTCAACAAACATTTCTAATCTGAGATACAAAATTAGGCACTCCTGTGGCTAACTTACAGACTTTGCAGTGACATCTTGGTCTCTTGGTACAACCTGCTGGCAAAGGGGATGGCAATTTCCCCTAGCCTTCTAGGTGATTCTCAAACTGATGTAGCTTGATATACCATGCAGAGGAGAGGCAGTCCCTTGTAAACTTCCTCCAAAATGTGGTTTCAAAAACATCCACCTTGTCAACCCGTCTCAGCAGACTAGAGGAAAGACATTTCTTTGAGATTTGTTTCTTAATAATTAGTATATTTGTATCCTGGATACATATGTTCTGGAAGGCAGACTGTTAAATTCAACACCTCCCTTCTTTCCTCATGCTCCCTCCTTTTATTTAAATTTAAAATCATGATTCATCATGACTATGCTATAGACATTTTATTCAAAGTAGAATTGGGCTTTTCACCTAGTTGTGTCTTTCAGTTTCTTTCACTAGTTCCAAGTGGTCTAGCACTGAAGTTGAATAAAACTGGGAACTGAGGTTTGACTGTTTAGATAGATACAAAAAGTTCGGTTGTTGAAACTTTCTATTAAAATTTAAAAAGTGGCTGTAAGTAACTTTGTGTTGTGTGTCCATGTATTAAGAAACTTCCTTGGTTAGTGATGAAATCTAATATAGGATTCAAAAAAGAATCAGACTCTGGTGTGAATAAACTATAATAGTATATAAGATCCTAATGATATAATTGACAATGTGAAATAGGAAGAAAAGGGCTAAAGGTTTAGGAAATGGGAAGGGTAGGGGAAAGGTAATAAGGGAAAGGAAAAAAATACGAGAAAATGAAAAAATGGAAATAAAATGTTTGTAAAGGGGGAGGGGAGGAGGGGGTGAAGGGAGGGCAGGGACAAGGGGAAAAAATGAGAACCAAGACCTGTAAAGGTGCAAGATCCCAATGATGAATGTAACTGTACTGTATATCTAAAATGTACTAATAAACTCAATGAGAAAAAAAAACCAAAAAAGAATCAGACACTGCTTTTAAGTATGGATATTTTTTCCTTCGTTAAATCAACTTGGAGTGTGCGTGTGAGTTGTTAGTGTCTTGCACAGCCAATGAAGTCACTGCCCCAGCTTTCTTCAAGTCCTGCTTTCTATGATTCACACTTTCGTCACATCCCTGCTCACTCCCCACCCAAGGAGAGCCAGCCAGCTTGACATGAAACTAACCTGCTATCCCAGCATTATCCCTTATTGCTCCATGTATACATCAAGCATAAATGATATGGTCCAGTCAGACTAGCTCCTTGCTTTCCCAAGAAGGAAGCACAACACAGATTAGTCAGTGGCTGTCAGCCACCGTCTGCACCTTACTCATCCTTTGCTCGGTATACCTCTGTCCCATTTCTACCTAGTAAACGTCTGCCCATTCCACAGATTCATGCAAAAGAACAGAGGAATTCTGTTCTTTACGTGCTTTCCAAGGGAAGGAAGTCTTTTCCACATTTGCACCTCTATAGTACAGTGTCTCTATCTCCCCTGTACTATTATATTTTGATTATATGTCCTATTTCTCCTTCTTAAGAGCTGGGTTTCTATTTAACTTATTATTATATAAATATATGCCATAGCACATAGTAGGCACTCTGAATAATTGTTGAATAAATACTTCATTTTCCTCCAGTTCATTAATCCATCCATCCATCCAACCATCAGATGTTTATCGAATACCCACAGAAACCAGGCACATGTAACTAATAAAATATAGATTTGAAGCTTATCAGTAGATGTCAAAGGTCTGTGCTATTTCAATCCTCTTCCCTTATGGGGGAAGACTTGTTCGTATCATGCAGGCGGTATTTTTTGTCATTCCTGCCAGTTCTACTATTTTTTAAGGTGCCCCCTCATTAGCAAATTTAGCAAAGCATATTAAAGATCTGTATTTGTGCACTAAACAGACTTCTAACTTTGCCTGATCCTATTTCTATTTTTATTGCATTTTCACTTAATTTTTGTTTAGGAGCATATATAGTTGAATGTTTACCTTATATCTTTTTAAATTGATGCAGAGACTGACTGAATAGCGAATAGAATAAAAAATTTAAAGACTCAGGAAATTGGCTTAAAACCACCAATTCATGCACTGAAATCTCAAGTGGAGTTCTTGCTGAAGAGAAGAATTCAGTAAAATGTAGATCTTCCTTGGGCTGCATTAGGGGTCTAAATTTCTAAGGTACAGTGGTACCTCAGTTCACGAACTTAATTCTTTCCATTATTCTGGTCACAAACCAAATTGGATGAGAATGGAGTCCAAATCAATGATTAGGTTCAATGTTGAACTTACAGGGAAATTTGATTTGATTCTCATCCAATTTGGTTTGCAACCAGAATTGTGGAAAGAATTAAATTTGTGACTCAAGGTACCACTGTAATTTTTTATATACCTATCTATTTTTAATGTAGTTCCACAAACATAATATTCAGAAGTCTGTTATGAAAACCCTAACAAAGTCACTCCAGTTGTTGATGGTATTTGAAAACTGCACTGTGAAATTTGGAACTACTTCACAGAAGCTGGGAAACATGAGGAAAGACATGTGAATGTATCTCAAAAAACTATTCCTATAATATTGATATTTCTTAAACACAAGATCGCGAAGGAGGTGACCTATCACCTTTAGAAATCTAGAATGTAGACATTTAGATTTAGATTTTAGCTTGATTAGAAAATTTAGAGCAAACCCAGTGTGGGGGGCACACCTGTAGTCCTAGCCCTCAGGAGGCTGAGGCAGGATTGCTGTGAGTTCAAGGCCAGCCTGAACTACAGAGAAAGACATTGTCTCAAAAAATAAAAACAAAAACAAACAAACAAACAAAGAGCAAAGCTTAAAATATATAAAGACAGTATTTGGGAAAAATGATTTCTGAAGTGAGAATAGTTCATAGGATCTGCACAAAAATGACATCAATGGTATCAGCTAAAGCATGTGTTCTTCCTTCTCATGTTATAGAAACACATACACCTGCCATCAAAATATAGGTACTATAAGACCTAAACCTCATACATTAAAGGAAATTCTCTTACCCATGTTAAGTTTTTGTTATTTTACACTTATGTTTTTCTTGAACATATTTAATGACTATAATTCCACGCCTTCTGTCTAGACTGTGTCAAGCTTACCTATTTAGTCAGATTTCTTGAGTCTTAAAGCCAGTTTGAAGCTTTGTCTTCACAAAGGTTGTTGATAATTAGTCTACAGTTAATTCCCAAGGATATACATCACAGACCAGGCCCTGTACCTTTACGGTTATGTTTAGGGAACAGAAAACACAGCATCATTAAGCATGACAAAATGTACTCAGGAAACCAGAGTTCTAAACAGTTAATAAGGAAGAATAAAAAAAATCTTAAAAATGGTAGTTATTAGAATTTAATGGTAGACATTGGCTGTGGGCATGATATACAATTTATTTAAAAGTGTTATTTACGAAAATCGACTTTCAATTGACTTTTTTGTGTTATGTTGAAGCCCAAGTGAATCAGTCACAAGGACTTGTCAAGATGGTTGTTTTACCTGTTTATCACACCCTGGAGCTTCTCCTCTTTATTTGAATAGTGGGCTGGAAGGGCAGATATTATATTTCTTCTCATCCTTTTCACTTAGCTCTTGAGCTATTCTCAATAACTGTTAATTGAACGAAAAAATGAACTTTACCTTTTCTACCAAGGCATGAGCCTCAAGTTTTAAGAATAGATTTAACTGTTAGTTGATGTGTGTTGGGCAACTTTAGGCAGGCTAATAAATTGAGAAAAGGGAAGTCAAGAAACTTGCTGTTTTGTCCCTTCCAGAAAATTCTCACAAAGATTTTAGCTTGATTAAAAATCATTATCTTCACATACATGCATACTAACTCAATGCAACCAGTGGAAATCCTTGAAAATCAATAGGAGAATTTACAGCCCATGTGATTTTTTTCTGTTTCAGAGAAAATTCTTTTAAGAATCCTCATGGCCTCAATTTAGACCTTATCAGGTAGATATTTCCCTGGACTTCAGGGAAACTGCTTTGGGAAGTAATAAAGAGAAATATTCTAAAAAGTAAGCTACCCCAGAGGCATAAGGTTCAGAAGTGAAACATGATCTCATGGAATGTAATCACCCAAGTAACAGTGCTTCAATATTTTTTGTTTCCAAGGTAGCACCTGCCAATCAAGTGGTTCCATGTCTAAAAAAAAAAACAAAAACAAACTACAGAATTTATAATTTTAGAAATATGAAGTAGAGTTGCAATGTGATCGCAGTGGCTGGGTCACTTCTCCTTGCAAAGATTTTTATCAGATTATAAAACAAATGGCTCACTTCTTCAAGGCATATTAGTGCCATGAAATCATGCTTCACCTTTGCCCTCCGTCACCATATCAGCAGGAGTTCAGAGTGTGATATAAGGGAAAACATGACAGACAGTTAATTTCTGCCAAGCCTTTCTGGCCTTCACGGTGAGGGATGGTTATTTAATTTTTTTTTCCTGGGCATTTAAGTAGAGTTTTGATGGTGCCTCTTAACCATGTTATTTGGTCTGAATCTGAAACCTTTGTGGAAATGGCCTGAGAGTCCTTTCCTTTGCTGGACCCTAAAACATTGTTTGGAAACTGGGAGAATAGGGATGAAAAAAAGGGGAAGTATGTGTCTTCTCCATGATGTTTTGGGGCTGTCTCGTTACTGAGGAATGCTGACATCCACCTGATCACACTGACCTGGGAGCGGCGCTTAGCCTGACACGCTACCTAGCTATACCTTTGTGCTCACAGGTGGCTGAAATGCTGCCACGACCACTTGGTTGCATCTCCAAAAAAGCTGCAGCCTCTTTGGGGCTCCAGGAGCTTGCCCCTTGCTTTGCGAGGTCTCAGTAAGAAGCAAAATAATTCAACCAGCAAAGCAGAGGCCAGGGAAACATTTGCTACCATCACCTCTGCCGGCTGCACCTTAAATAGAATTTCATATATCCTCTTGCTTATTCTTTTTCACAAGGGAACCAGTTAGGAGCCCTGGGTTAAACCCTTCTGTAGAACCATTCTGATGAGCAAAAATAGCAAGAGATAGGCTATGATTAGGGATTGACTTTGGGGAAAAAAGAGTGAAAAAAAGTGTTCACCTTCTAGCCCACAAGCGAAGTTGCTGAAAACCAATCACCATTTCTACCCTCTCCATGTTTATGCTTACTCTGGAGAGTAATCTAACTCATCATTTGCAATCAGGGCCTCTGAGTTCTGTTTGTGTTTGCTTTTGCTCTTTGCTTTGCTACTTGTCCGGTTGTTTGCCTTCGAATCTGACATCTGTTGGTAATAGAAGCCTTTGTCTTCAGCAGGCCCGCCCCAGTTCTCCTGGCTCTCGCCTTCTGTGGCATAGGAAAAACCCTCCTCCACCGAGAAGGGGTCGTCCACATCGTAGCGCTGGTATGTACTTTGGTGCAGGGCCTCCTCTCGGGCGCTGATTTCCAGGGTGCTGTTCCAGATGCCATACCCAAAGTAAATGAGCACACCTGTGGGAGGAAGGCACCGGTGAATGAACATTGCTTTGGGATCTAGGGCATTGTGGGGAGATCACTTCTGATGGTAAAACCAGAGCTGGAGGCCACGTATAATCTTTGATCTACACGGTGTTTTGAATTAGATGCCATTTTAAAAATGGAGAGGCCTTGCATCAGGCAACCTGTACTTATAGCTTCCCCTAAAGTTGAAGGGCCTGACAACCTTGCATGTGGGAATTTCTGGTTAGATGTGATAATTTGCTGCCTCTTTAGACAAGACATAGGCCCTGTGGATCTTGAGAGACCCCTCTCCCCTGCTGACATCTAGTTCATTACTCTTATCTAGCTGCCTGCCAGGAATTTGCATTTTCTGCCTTTGGGTTAAATATTTATGGGTCAGCAACAGTATATCCCACTTTCTCATTATTATCTCTTTGTTTCTCATTATTTTCTCTTTATTATCACTTGTCTCCACTTAGGGACTCTATCTCATTTGACTGTTTAGCAACATGTGTATACTATGGCCCTTATGTGTTAAGGCCCTTAGCACATCGTTTTAGACTGTGCTCTACGTTTTAGACTGCAGAAAACTGGTACTTAATGTTTGTTAAGTGAAAGAATGAGAACTATTGATGAGCCTGAAATTCTCAGTGCAAATTCCTTCTGTTGATGTCATTCCATCCAAAGGAAAGACACCCTCCTAAGTAACATGTGGCATTCAGAGGGACCTAATGTCTCATTTCTGTGACTTTTGTCAATAACGTACAAAAATTGTTCAGGGCCCCCATTCTCCACTTTGAAAAGTCCATGAAATTCAGGGCCTGGAAAGCTGAGAATCAGAGATGTGGTGGTCATACGGCACATAGAGTAAGAGCGCACGCAAGCTCTGGGTTCCAGTGCCACCTCTATCACTATTAGCTGTGTGACTCTGGCGCCTTTACTTAGCCTCACAGCTTGAGAGTTAGAGCTATGACACTGGGTTGCTTGAGGATGAAATGGAATAAAAGGTGATTCTCAATCTTGGCTTTGATACCTAAGCCTCATCCACCATTGGAAATTCAGATTACATTGGTTTTCTGTGCTACCCAAGCACAGGTATGTTTTCAAGGCTTCACAGGTTATTCAGTCAAGACTGAAAATGCCTGGGATAAGCTAAGCCTGCTATACATTCTACACTGCCCACTCACACCATGCTATGCCTATGCCCTGGTTGCTGGATCTACTCAATTATGAAATTTCCTTCAAGCCCTTAATACTCTCTTCTGAGAGGAGCCAGCTCCTCTGACCTTGGTGTCCTGTGACATCTGCTTGTCTGTTTGCTTAGAATCAAAAGTCAAGCCTGCTTTCTAACTCTGGAGCTTAAGAAATGTTGCTCCTTTTTGATTCTGAAATGTGTCTTTAAGCTTGGATTTCTCCCTCTTTGTCCTACATGACTTTCTTCCAACCCCCTCCCCGACACCACCCCCCAGTGAAATGAACTTTCCAGCAGCCAAAGTAAGCAGAGAGTTATAGCTCTAATTGTTAATAAATCCTAGAGTTAATCATTAGCAGATGTAGCTGTTATGGCTTAAATAGCAACTTCATCTTTTTGAACATGAGTTCTTACGCTTTCTTGCCGAGGGGTGGGGGTGTGGCCATGGAGTACGGTTATTATCCTGTGTAGAACACATCACATTAAGGCTTATTCTAAAAGGACCAGTATGCTGGTTCTTGGAGAAAGCCTCTGAAGAATGCCTGGGGCCTGAGAATGAATTTCAAGTGGGACCAGTAGGAATACACTTTCTTTTACCCAAATTTGCTCTTTTAAATTCTTTCTTTAGACATCAAGGTAGGTGTCAAATCTTGCTTCCAGCTTCTGCTCAGATCTATTGTGTCAGTTCCTTTCTTTTTGATCTCCTTCCCTGACCCTATTTATTGATGGGCCATTTCCCTACTGAACTTAATACCCTTTTTCCCCCTTTCCCCTAACTTCCCTCCTCTGCAACTACACAGGTCACTCTACAGACCCATCACTGGCTTGAGCTCTATTCTACAGACCTTCCCTTGCTCCCACTAAGTATGTGGACATCAGGTAGATTCATATGGGAATTCTCGAAAAACATAGTGGATTTAATCATAGATATTTGAGGTGGAAAAGCTCTAATGACCATCTTTGCATTCTAGTGCTTTCATTTTACGGAAGAAGAAATAGGCTGGGAACGCTAGGCAACTTGCTTGGGTCAGAGAGGGCAGAACTGACCTTGGCAAGTCCCTCATATAACCACTCCTCCCACGTCCCTGCCTCAGCAGGTTTACAGATCATGCTCAGTGCAGTAAATATTAGGGAGGGTATAGGTCTACAGTTGTTTTCTGAGAGGAGACGCGCGTGCATGCGTGTGTGTGGACACTATTACTTTGGAGAAGGCAACCCGTGAAGACCCAGAAGACCACATAAATATTTATTGATCTTTTCATGCTTGCTCCAGCCCCCTACAGTTTCAAAGGTGTCTTCAAACACAGTTAGAGGAGGGTGCAGCTGTGTGCAGGCAGCCGGCTCTGGCAAAGCCATTCTCATCAACGTTGGTTTGCTCTCTGCTTTTATCCTTTTTGCTGGCCCTCGAATCGATTTAGGAAAAGTGATACGAAGCAGAAAAGAATGGGAGAAAAAGGAGAAATGGAGAGGGATAAAGAAATAGAGAGGAACAAATGAAGGAAGGAGGGAAAGAGGGAGGGAGAAGAGAAACATATAAGACCATCTGTCATACATAAATAAGGGCTTTGTGTGAGGAGTCAGCAGCGCTGCTAAAAGCCTCCTGTGTGGCTGCAGGGTGTTTTGTTTCAGCTCTCTTTTCAGCTGTCTTGGAGAATTACACATGAGGTAGTTTCTGAAAATGTGGTGGGGATTCTTGGAATCCTGAGTCATCTGAACTGAACTTCACACAACACCTCTGGGCAAGTTCCTGCGATAGCAGGACCGAGGCCACACCTTTCTTCCAAGGGCCCTCAGTGTTACACAGATGTTGCTGTGTTTAGATTCCATCTAGCCTATGCGGGAAGCCTCCTGTGTGTGTGTGTGTGTGTGTGTGTGTGTGTGTGTGTGTGTGGTGGCAGGCTGCTGATTATGTGCAACTCACAAGGAAACAAAGCAGAAAAGCTACGGAGATTGTCCACAACAACCGTGGGAGCGGCCAGCCTGTGACTCTTTCCAGGCCTGCTTATCCCCCTAACCCAGGAAACTTCCAGCTCTTGCATTTCTTCCCTCTTCCAAGGGAGGATATGAGGTATAGATTGATGGGAAACAACTATGCACTTTCTACTTTGAAGGATTTCAAACATATACAAAGATCTGAATACAATGACTAGTCCCATTCCCAGCCCCCTACTGTCTTCTCCTCTTTTCTTTAGATTGTTTTTGAAACAAATCTCTTCTGTCACAGGTTTCATCTGTAAATGTTTCAGTATATATATATATCTCTAAAATAAACTCTTTCAAAAGCATATCTTAGAATCATTATCATATCTAAAAATGAATAAACATTTCTTAATATTATCTGTTAGTAGCAGTATTGAAATTTCTGAATTATTACACATACAGAGGAAAGCTTTCCACCTTACTAGGCTGTACACTTATCTCAATGATGCCATCATTTACTTGAAGTCATTTTTGGGCACTGTTGTTTAAAACTGCTATGGGAACTGGCACCATATTTTTTTGTAACCCTTATAGACAGCAAAGTTTTATCCTGTGAGGGTGGATTTAATGATTGGTGTAGACCAAAGTGCTACCAAGCTTCAAGAATAAGGTCATTAATTAATACATAAAATTCATTGTTTTACTTGAATAATTTTTTCTTAAAAGGCAGAATTGCTTTGCAATTACACATCTTATATCTGTGATAAATTATTCAGAGGCAAGTGTGACGGTAAAAATCAGAAGAGACCAGCTTTTGGGTTGCAGTAGGGTCCTGAAGGCTTCCCTGCTGGACTGGGATTATTTTTTTAGTTGATGGGTCACATAGGGCTGCCCGATGTGTCAGAAGCTATCAGCACGTTAATATAAATGTGGCTATGCTGGGGCATACAGTGAATGCCAACCCTGCCCGAAGTAAGGGCAATGAATTCTGTGAAAGGCTGAGGGGAAGGAAGTAAATATTCAAAGAGAAGCTTTGATTTCTTTTCCAGACAGAATTCCTTGGTGGAGAACGTGCCTATGAGAGATCAAGCTGGACAAGATCAAGAATCACACCTGTGACGGTGTAACAATTCCCAATTTGAAACTATACTACAAAGCCACTGTGATAAAATCAGCATGGTACTGGCAAAGAAATAGGCCTGAGGATCAATGGAACAGACTGGAAGACACAAAAACAAATGCAGATGTACTCAGCTACCTCATCTTCGACAAAGGAGCTCACCATCCTCAGTGGAGGAAAGATAGCCTCTTTAATAAATGGTGTTGGAAAAACTGGATATCAACCTGTCACAGATTAAAATTAGACCCTTATCTTTCGCCATGCACTAAATTAAAATCCAAATGGATTAAAGATCTAAATATTAAAACAGAAACATTAAACTTGCTGGAAAG